ACAAATGACATTGTGATTCACACCCACTGCTGGGCTGCCACTAATAAGCTACAGAGGAAGCAGCCAATCTCAGCTAATTACCAGATAAAATTGTATTGTAAGGACTCTAATTAGGAGATGCTTATGGAGGTGATCTAATGATTAAACGCTGCATCCAAGTGACCCCACCATCAATGTGCAGTGGTGCAAGATGTCACCGGAATATTTTGTAGAAACAGTAATTTTATTTCAAGGAGGGGAGGCAGTAATATTTGTAATAATGGCTATGAGGTAAACTAATTAAAAGACAGTTCCTAAAGGAAGACTGTGGCTTTGAGCAGCTGTGGCCGTTCCAAAACAAAGTGCCAAATCTCAACAGAGGAGCTGCAGTCAAGTGGAAAATTTCTGCCTGACCTCTGCTCTTGCTATTAATTTGCAGGAAACCTAATGACACATATACATATTCCCACAAAATTGTTCTAATTGCTAATTTGCCAAAGGAGCCCAGTTTCCAAATTAAACATGACTGCAGTCTGTGAGGAAGGAGAGAACAAAAAGCTGGAACGCAGCGAGTCTGCTGCGTTTCACCTCCGACGACCATTTGCGAGCCTGAACCAACAAGTTAATGAAACACGACCTTGTCGATCGCTAGTGAAGTTTTTCCTTTTACTGTGTTTTATTTGATGACACTCTCCTCTTCCAGCCGGGGTCCATCCCTGCTGCTGCCATTACCAAAACACAAGCTAGGGTAAGGGAGGAGAGGGCTGCACTCCTTCCGCAGACCTTCGCCGCTGCTTCCTTTGTTGCATCTATAGCGCAAAGGCTGAAAAATCAGTTGTGAATTAGAGCAGAATAACAAATTATGAATGGTGTTGGTTTTGTTGCCATCTTGAATTATTAATCTGAATGGTAAACTATTAAATCTTAATATTGGCATCAATTAGATACTTGAAAGCAGCTGTGGATGATTGTGCAGGGCAAAGATCAGGGAGGGACCGGGCTGGGAGGGTTTCTTTTCCTGATGGAAACTTGACACGGTTTCTCCCTGTTTGCGTTTTCTATTTAAAAACAAGTTACTATGATTAGAAAAGTTGATCGTGTTGGTATTTTGTGCACAGCCTGTTTCCCACATACCGCAATTTTTGGATGAGGTAGCACTGCTGGCAGAGGGGAGGGAGCCTAAAGTCACGGAGTGAGCACTCCGATGGGCAGGAACTCTTGCACTGAAGGAAGGTGCAACACAGGGCACCCTTCAAGTACACCGCAGAGCACAGCTCCTGCACCAAAGGGTTAAATGATTTTGTAATGTTGGTACTGGGGATGGGAGAGGATTTCCTCCAGCCTTTAACAGAAAAAAAAAAAAGCAATCACAAGAGCCAAAAACCCCCAAAACACCAAGAGAAGAAAAAAAAAAACCACCAATAGAAAAACCACCAAAGCCCACAACAGTTTTAGATCCTAAAATTCTGCAAATTTAGTCACTGACCCTTGTTGGCTTTGCTCGGTTTTGAGTTTTGAGAACATTTCTTCATACTGTTTTAACTTAATTATGAATACCGTAGCTGTTTCAGCATTCAATATCCTGCTTAGGATTTTATTATTAACCTTCTCTTTTAAGAAATAGGCATGTCTTCCTATTAAAGGTGAAGACTGAGCCATTTTCTTTATTTTCTTTAGTTATAAACAAGGCAGAGAGGTAACCTTCTCCTTCACGCTGTAAAATAGATTTCCAGTAAGTGGCTTTCCCACTAGGGCTAAGTCTGATTTCTTTTTGTGTAAACATTTTACATGACAATGGTGGCTGCACATAAAAAACCCCCTGAAACTCTTTTAGAAGAAAAAAAAAAAAGAATTTCATATATATATATGTGTGTGTGTGTGTGTATATATATATATATATTTCTAAGTATCACAGTGGGGCCATTACCCACTGCTGCAGGGCAGTGACTCCTCTGCAATAGATGCTGCTGCTCTGGTCCCAACTGGGACTGAGGATTTATCCACACTGAATTCCTGGGCCTGAAACACTCTGGAGCAGAGATTCCTTTTCTTGACACCCAGGGTGGGAGAGAAAGCTAATACTGGGCCTAAAACTTTGTTAAATGCTGTGTCTTCCTCTCCCATTTCAGCCTGGACACATTAGTGTATTAGATGCGGAGCCTGGCAGGCAGCAATCACTTAGCAGGTGTTGTTATTGGCAGGAATACTAAGGAAACTGAAGCTGAGGAGTGAGACTTAATGAAAACCAGTATATAAAAACAGCTTTTGTTGTGCTTGAGAATCTCTCTTTATTGCTGCGTATCGTTATTTTTTCAAACTATGAAGTACGGCTGCAGCAGCTAAAATGCTCAGTCATTACCTCAACAGTTAAAAGACTATTTTTTTTAATGCTTTGTTATTACAGTTGCTAAAAACAGTATTTCAAAACAATCATAACTGCTATGGTTAGGGTAAAAAAAACACATAGAAGAAGGGATATTTAACAGCGCATCTTATTTAAAGTGCTGAAAGTTTCTCTCGAAGTTTTCAGTCTATTTTTAAAAGATGGCTATAGCACCCAGTATGCAGAATTACTTGTTGGTTGATGCTTTTTCCTTGTCCTTCCCTTCCTATGAACTTCAACATAAGTTAATCCTCCAAAAGAAAGCACATTTCCATTTCAACCTATTATGCTGATCTCTAACACCAATGAAAATAGCATGCAGGGGAAGCTATCTTAATAGCAAAACCAGAATGACAATTCTTGAGAAATCGTACTTTTGTGTTGTGGTTTTGGTAGGTTTTTTTTGGTTTTTATCTTGAAAAAACTAAATCACCATAGAAAAATGTCACAGCCTATTGTTACACAGAGAGCTTTGTTCTTGCTATATTCAGGTCCTTTAGTATCATCAAAACAACACATGTAGCAGTAACAGGAACAACTTTGCCTGTTCCAATTGTGAAGTTGCGAGATACTTCCATTTGCTTTTAAAGTGCTGCATTGTTGGGCAGTTTAATTATAAACCTGGACATTTTTGAAGGTGGCCCTGAGCACTGCCCCAGCTCCTGATGTGTTTCCCCTCCCCGGAGCTCCTCAGGAGCTGGGAGGAGAAGGGCAGGGAAGAGCTGCCCTTTGCAGTACATCAGACATCACCAGCAACCTCTGCACCTACCTGGCAGCAATTTAGGCCATCCACCACTACACTATGTTAAAACATGCTTAAATCTCATCGGCTTTAACAGGACTAAAGAGTTCTACTGAACATATGTCTTGATGGACTGATGAAATGAAATGAATGGGCCACTACACCACCCTTCCCAAGGTTAAAATTCCTGCAAGGAGCTAAAGCCACCCAAACAGGATGGATGGGCATGGCTATCCTGGACAAGCAACCCCCTCTCTGAAGCTGGGCAAAAGTTCTGAACTGATGCACAATCACCAAGAACCAGGTTGTGCTCTACCTGGTCCAAACCCAGCTGCTCGCCTACTGTCAGAAGCCCAAAAGGCAAAGACAGTACTAATGGTCAGTGTGGATTACAAATGGCATGAGGTTAACACGGACACTCAGTCACCAATTTTACCCGCCAGTAACAAAACAGTTTAAAAACAAGCATTAAGACCCTTTAAGCAGAGTAAAAACATTTCCTCAGTCACAAAAAGGCTGTAATTTTAAATCCCAATTCTCTGCTATGTTTGGATTTGCAGCTGCTCTCTCCTTTAAAATCACTGATGTACCATAATATATTAATTCTAATGTACACCTTGCATTAGTTATGTTGGCAGAAAAAAATTAATTACTGGATGTAAAGAATACTTTGCACTGCAATAATGGTCATCAGATCTTTTTACCAAAGTCCTATCCCACTGAGTTAAAAGGACTAGGGTCTAGCTCAGTCTATGCAATGCCTGTGTATTTTTTTCACTAGGAAAGCACAATTTATGCAAAACACTATACTTCCACATTTTATAATTAATTTTCAAATGCTTCACCTATACATATTTTAATAATTTCTGATTTATCAGATGGTATCTATAATAAATTTTTCTATATTTCAATAAATGAAAAGAAGGCAGTTTCAATCCAACAACAGAGTGCCACACAATATAGGCCTGTCAGGCACCAATTTTTACTTCTAACATGTAAGTTAAAGGATAAGGAATTTATAATGCTGCCTGTGAACGAAACCACTTTTCATACACAAATGTGATCTTTTTTTTTCCAAAGGGTAATACAACAGTACATTTACATAAACTAATCCAAACAATCTATGTATTTGACAATGGCAAACCTCACACAGACTGCCTATTGTTGGTTTACATCTTGGAGTTCTTTATGTTGGCTTGTAACACTGCTCTAGCTGTCAAAGGTTTGACTTGGACTCTAAATAAATGGTTATAGAAGTGCTGTGCAGCGATATTGGACTTCTTTGCAAAAGAAAACCTGCTGTGTATGAATTCAAAAGCTATTAATTTTTCAGTCAAAAATATTCATGCCTATTTCTTTTAATAAAGAAACACTGTGCTGAGCAACTGAGAGATAATGTTGACTAGTGGTACAGAATTTTCAATAGAGCAGTTAAAAATAAATTTAGTAGGAGGTCCCCAACAAAGCTATAATTTTCCAGAATGTAAAACATTTTTAATACTAATCAAGCCAGCCCTTTTCCCCCTGCGTTCACTTTTTTTTTCCCCCACTGCTTTTCCCTGTTTATTAGCTGTTAACACTAATCTTCCTGGCGACACCGCCTGGTATCTCCATAGCCTGCAACACTCGCGAAAGCTCCCTGCCCTCTGCGGCCGAGCATCGATCACGAGCCGCCTTGCCAAACACTGCTCACCGCCTTATGATTTCCTCCCTTTAGTTTTTAATCCTTCCTCCTGAGGGGCACCACTGTTATGAAAGGCCTCAAGGCAGAGTGCTTTGAGACTCCCAGATTATTCCGCTGTTTTAGTTTTTAATCCAGTAAGAGCTATAGAAACCAAACCTCCTCCCCATTCTGTTGGGTCTACATACTTTGCCAACAATGCGCTGAAGCATTTGCATTCAGGCTGAGATGGATGTGAGGCACTAGAAGAATGCTATTTTTACAGACACCGTAAGTAGTTTCTACTCTAGAAGGCTGGTATCCACTGGATCAAGCAATTTTAGGCATCTCAACAGCTTAAATGGAAGGGTTTATACCTACCACTCAACTCTCTCCAAGAAGGCACCGAAATTTCCCGTTGACTTTGACATCTGCTCCAGTGTTGCTGAATAGCCTGCAATTTTCTGTCTAGTAGCCTCCCTATGCACTTCTGCAGCCATTTATTTCCAACTACATGGAAACTGAGAAATCCTTTTCTAGTAAAAATGTGTGCGCAAAGTGTTTAATGATTTTATGTTCTCTATCTCTGTAATGTGTTCTGTTTCAGACATTAATTTTGTCTACCAACTGCATCTTGGCAGGCTACCATATTTGCTGGGTTAATAGTCTGACTCCTTTTTATTTCCATCACCATAAATCACACATATATGGCTGTGTGTTTGCTTTATTTATAGAAAAAAAATCAGTCAAAACAGATAAACCAATACTTTGTCATTATGCTGCATCATTGCATATTGATTAAAATTGCTAGTACTAACTATAGATTGTCAACGCTCAATTAATTTTCACACAATGACTCAAAGCAAAATCAAATAAAGCCAGTGTACCTTTAAATCTTACAAATCTTAAAATCAGGAAGCAAAGCACTCTCTCCATTTTGAATAATCATTGAAAGCTCTGAGGAACATTTTCAGCATTAAGAGGTTGGGAGAAAACAACAGCTGAAGAAGAGTCATTTTGATCAGGGAATGAGATGGATGGTCTGCCCGGGTTTGGGGCTACCCAGAAGTTTTCTTGGGCTGCAGAGCTACTTGCTTCCCTTGCACCCTCTTTCTTAAAGGGCAATCTGGGGCGGAGAAGGTTTCCCTTCTCGGTTTCAACAGTATAAAACCTGATACTGGTTAACCGCGATTATCATCAAAACGTGCAGCTAGAGCCTCTTCTACTGTAAATGTCTGTCAGACAGGGAGAAAGCAGAATAAATATACTAAACATAATTTAATTACATCTCCTTCCTAACACTTCCTAAGATTTCATACAAGTTGGACTGATGCAAAGCAACTTACAGGCTACAATGTAAGGCCAGAAAAAAGCTCAGTGCATCAGCTTTAAAGCAAAACTTCTTAACTCCCTGAAGAGAAGGGGATGAGGAAACCCAGGTGCCCATGGCATTGCCTTCTGCAAAGCAGCACTTTACATCTCATCACCATGGCTGGCTCTGAAGCGGGCCGCACTTTGCACCATGCACTCCAGTGGGGAACAGGAAAGAGAGGTTTGTTGTGAGGTTTTATTTGCTTTTGGCACAGTTTGGTACTTACGGGCTGAGGGGTGGCTTTTGGTTCAGTTGACTTCACATGCAGGTGTGTCATCATGGCTTGCAGGCGCTCTTTATCTTTTGCAAGCTAAAAGGAGGGGGGAAAAGAAATATCCTCTGTTACTCGCACAAATAAAACCCAGTCTCTGCTTATTCCTAATTAAAGAGCTGGCACCGAGGCATGAGGCAGAAGAGTTTTATTGCTGAGTAGTTTGGAAATTGTATATGGTCTATTTGTGAGGTAAAGCTAACGCATGGTGCTGGGTGTCACTATTTCCCAAAGCAAAATGCATTAGCCCTCGAGTGAGAAGAGCTAGACCTGCTGGCACCAAGAGCTTCACTCTAGCCCTGACAGCTAAAAGACAACAGTGAATCATGTTTATTAACCAGCCCCACTCCAGCTCAGGAGGCACAGCAGAAAGCAAAAGAGGCAGTGGCTCTGAGATGCCTTTGCCTCCTTTCAGACCAGAAAACAAGCGGCACAAACGGACAGTGGCTTTTACAGCACCTACAGGCTTTGTGGCACGTGCAACAAATGCAGAGACAGCAGTGGTTAAATCACACGAGGCACCTCCATGGGGCATGGCAGGCAGCCTCAGCTCTAGAAAGCACCTTGCTTTTACTTGAGAAGGTGGCACAGCCCCTCGGTGGGTGACCCTGGGCAGCCAGGCTGGGAACCTGAGCAGATGCACCCTGAGCATGGGCAGGACCAGCAGGGTGGGTTTGCCAGCATCCCTTTGGCATACGCCTGTGGGCAGCAGGATCGGAAGGACTAAGAGCGTACAGAAACCACCCCAGAGCACTCATCTCGGGGCACCCAACACCACAGGACCGATACTTTCACCTTTTCTCATTGGTCACATCATGGCCAAAAGTTGGGGCAAAGCTCCTGCTCTGAATGTCTCAGAATTCTGTTTTATGGTTGAGAACTGCACCAGGCCACAGCTGCTGTCTTGGGATCACACCATACACAGCCTTAGCCAGGATGGCTTCCCAATGCATTTCAGTGCACTGGACAGACACTAGATTTCGTTATTTTTGGAAACCATTTTTTTGTATGTGCAACAGGACTTTTTCCAGCTGCTTTTAAAAAAAATACGGTGGAAAGATATTAAGAAATAATACTAATGAAAAAGGGGTGTTATTAACCTACATGCCCAATGTAAAAGCTCCTGTTTCCAGCAGGACTTGGATCAGGTTCTTAAAAACCACAATTTTTGCAGACTTTTTGCTTTAGACAAGCCAGATTCCCAGTGCAAAGAGAACTGTGCTCGCATTCCAGCAACGCTTTAAACAACCTGCCCACCTTATCACCATCATCTGTTTGTAACAGTAAAGTTGGGCTAAGTGTATATAAAAGGAGACTTGGTCATAAATCCCCATTCGTATCCTCACGGTCAAGGTTGCCTTGCTGTTCACAAGGCGAGGGGTTTCTGACCGTGCCACAAAGGCACTGTGATAGGATAAACGTGGCACATGGGTTTCCAAGACAGGAATTAAATAAAGGAAAAAATGGTGTGACCACTGTGTGCTCTGGAGGTGCAAAAGCAAAATCGCTGGGCTTTTCAAATGGCTGTTCTTTTTCTTGGTCAAAAACCTCGATGGCAAGAGAGAGAACCTGACACTCACAGCAGATCTGCAATCTCATCACCAGATCTGCGCTGGACTTCACAGAAGAGCCAAAGAGCAGCGAAGGGCTCTTATCACAGCACTGCAGCAGAAACTTCTCCCTCTGAGAGTCCTCTGAGGACCTCTTCAGAGAAAGGAGAGTTCTCACCCCTCAGCTGCCGTGTTTCACACAAAACAAATTAAATCCAAGAAATAGCTGTGCTCGCAGTGTAGCCCTGTTGTGCAATCTCTCATCTGCAGCAGTCACTGGGCGCACCAGGCTGCTTGGCGGGGTCATCTGTGCATTAAATTCTGGTCTGCAGGCTACTGCAGAAGAACAACATCTTCTAGCCAAAACAAATAGAAGGCAGGCACCTGAAAGCTTCCTGCCTGCACCAGCACGGCGGCAGGAGGGAAGGCACCCGGGCAGCCCCGGGCACACCCTGCCGCGCTTCCCCCGGGCCCCCGCGGCCAAATGGAGCGGCCGGGGTCCTTGTTTGCAGTGTTTTCACTCATCATCTTAGCGAGGCTTTTAACGCCGTTTCTGGTGGACGGAGGTTATTAAAGATCCTCTCGACATTTCAGGCAGACACATGCTAGCATTTTGTCATAGTCTAGGAATTCAAACACTCACCCAGTTAGGCAGGAGTTTAAATTATGAAAAATAGAGGTCTCTCAGTTTCAAAGCACTGAAGAGAAGTAAAAAAATCTGAAGAATTTCTTTAAACTGTTTTTCCCTTAGGTCAGGAAGCAGCAGTGATATGAAACTAGAATGTCACTAGTAGCCCCCTCTGGTCAATGGGGTCATACAAAAGAAGCCATGAGGGCTTTTGTGGTCACCAATGGAAGCGAATTCTCACTGGAGTCCAGATGCTCCAGAAAAGGGGATTACTAGTAGACATGCAGGAAAATGCTCTTGATATACTGATAGTGCTCTTGGGCAAGGGCTATTCTGCCATGTACGTAAAGATCTGCTCTGTAGAGGGGGTCTGAGGACTAGAACACAGTCCCATCTGAAGCCTCATTCCTTCTTCCTATTTCCACTTCAAAATCTCTGCATGGTGGGAGTTTTCAGATGGCCACCCAGTTCTTCATGGTAAACCTGATTTTGTGAGGTTTCCCTCACCTCTGTGGTCTGATGCAGGTGTCTGACTGTGGACAACATGAAACACACCTAGAGAAAGGTACATGCTTTGCAAACTTGGACACCAAGACACGTGCCTTGACCCAGAGAGGTTAAATTCTAAACCTACAGAGGTAGGAACGGCAGGAGAGGGAAGGCACAGAAAGCACTGGCCAGAAGGGACACAAGGAGAGGAAGCAGCATGGGAGTCTGGTGACTACCAAGTATGAGAGGAGGCATCAGGCACAGATGATGGAAAAATAACACAGGAGGAAAAACAGACAGAAAACAACAAAAAGAACCAGGAATGTAAAAACAGAAACCCGGCGAGGGCATTCAACAGGAGCAACATGGCCACATCGACAAGGGAGATCACTTCAGCAGCAGGATTTTGTACAGACCAAGGACAAAGGAGAAGCAAGCCAGTCATGGGCAATGCAAGAGACAACCAAGACACACCTTCTTTCCTTCCATTATGTGCCTAGTTGGGCTGTGCACTAGAGACGTTTAGACCCACTTCAAGAGTGTCAGTAGATGCTTTAGGAAATCAGGCCCAAACAGTGTTTTCACTACACTGAAAATGGCCAGCTGTCTTCATTTTAAAACTTATCATAGCCTTGTTGCCATCCCGGGATGTTTTTTCACTCCAAGTTGGTGCTGCTAAGAACTAGCTAAGGATAGGGATATGTTCCTGTGTTTGTGTTTTACCCGGCAGCCCAATTCTCACTATTTATAAAGACAACAAATGATCATGTCAAGATGGTTTAAACGAAGTGAAATATGAGAAGATCTCTACCTTGTCTGTGATATTTTAAGTATGTTTGTGATGGAAATGCTGAGACCAAAGCTTCAAGATACTTCTGCGAAGGGGCATTTGCAATCAAACACAAACCAGATCTGACCTGTTTTGTTGTGGGTTTTTTTCCAGAAACTTGATGTAAAAATTACTTTCTTTAGAAGACATTGCACTTATCTCTGTCAATGACACTGCTAAAACTATTTTGCCTGAAACAAGTAAGAGCATAAGGAAAAAAAGAAAGGCTTGCATTTGAGTCCATCACACTCAAAACCTTAAGTGCATCCCTCAGGTGGAAGGAATTTGGTAAATTCTACTCCTGTCTTGATGGGGCTGTACATGAAATGGTGCAGCACTTAAATCTTGCCATGGTGCTGGACCCTGAACAACTTGTGATACTTCACAGCCCCACTGGAAGGCAAAGCTTCTCATCAGTGCTGAGCACTGCATGTCAAATGGTAAGGGCTATGGAACCCTCTTCTATCTAGCTCACAAAACTCAAACAGTTGGTCAGAGGGCTTGTCACCATCCCATTGGTAACTGCTCCACTGCAGAAGTATCAGGTCAATGGTCACAGTCCAACTGGTCCTGCTACAATATGTTGAGTGCTGTAGACGATGTCACTAAAAACTCTGCTGTTGGGCCAGACTTCTGTTTTATTATGGTCCTGTGCAAAACCAGCTCACAGCCAGACAAACCACATGCTGGAGGACAAATCCTTGTACATATTCAGGCAGATTATTTTTCTTTAAGTATCAAGAGGACCAATACAAAGGATGAACGAAAAGGGAGAGAGAGGAGTTACAGGTACATTTCAGAAGCAGGACCACCTTCCTCCTACTCTACCTGTCCTTGCTGGCCAATACACAGATGGTTTCACTCTGTTATCAACATCCCTGACTAAATTAAGCCTCCAGTTCATCCTATTTACTGTGCTAGCATGACTGTTAAAAACAAATCCGGAACTCTTTGGCTCTTGCACCACTCTGAAATATTGTTCTTGCCCTGGGGATCTTATGCTGCCTCTATGCAATGACTCCAAGCTAAGAGGTACTCCCTAGCACTAAATGGGTGGAAAGCTGTAACTATTAGTGTTTAAGTCACTTATAACAATCAGTAGAATGCACCACTGATAAATCTTTCCAAAATATTGTCAAGGGCTTATGGATTGGTGACAACCAAGTGCCATCTCTGTCATGCCCAACTGTTAACACAGGGAATTCTCCTGCAGTTCCAGGCACAGCCATTCCTAGAGACTGCAGGAGAGAAGGATTAACGCTCTTCAAGCTGACTCTAACTGGAAAATCTAGATTTACCTTCAGCCTGAATATTACTGCATCTTGGTAAAAGATTATCTCATATCTCAGTTTACCAGGAAGACTGCAGATTTTTTTTCCCTCTATTCCCGAGAAACTTGTTAAAATAACAGACCCTTTCTCATAATATTTTCTGCGAGACTCTGATATTTTATGACTGGTAGTTTGATTTTTATAAAACTTGTATTAAAATAGTTTATACTGCTTCAGCTAATAGTTTAAGAGTGTCATGACCAGCGTGTTCCTGAAAGTAAAATTTAAGAAATATCTATGAAAGAAAAAGGGTAATTTGTAAGATAAGAAGATAAAAGGCATTTTTTTAAATGCTTATCTGGAAAAGTAACAACAAGAAGTTTAAGTGTGGTTTTGCTGATTTTTCTCTCCAACTATTTGAAGCTATAAATGACTTAACTCAGTAAAATTCCAAATGTAATTATCTTCTGTACTTAGCCCAAGGCTTTCCATATATCTCTATGCTGCTGTCTTGCATACAAAATAGGTTTTTCAATAGCTGGTAACTATATAATGTACAACATTGTTTTAATTTCCCCTTCTCTGCTAACCTCTTGCCTACACACAGACACACTGTCAAAGCTGCCCAGCCAGAGCAGCGAGGTGCAGGGAGACAGAAAGGACTCAAAAACATTTGGAAAGGCAGTTACACAAATAGGTTATATCTTTGCATCACATTCAATATATTCCCATTTACCCCCTTTTTGGCACTTTAAAAAAAATTAAATGCTACAAATGGCAAAAAAAATAAGAGTAGTAATAATAATAATAATACATGGAGAGTATTAGTATATGAGAGACCACCAAACAAGCCAGGTCATGCAGCGTTTTGAAATAAACATCAACCATTTCCCCCCATGTATCAGCAACTCTAAATGAAGGGGACCACATTCCGCTCGCCCCCCTCCACCCCCCTTGGCGAGTATAAATAGCATTAGATACATACTGATGGATTTCCAATCAGTCAGCCTGTTTAAGTTTCCTATTTCTT